CCATAATCACGGCCTTTCCAAAATACTGTATATGACGAAGGAACATATTGGGAGCTAGTGATACTGTCCTTTAGCCCAGTTTCAGTGAGGCAAAGAATGGTGTATGAACTGCCTACAATTTCCGACATAAAATCGGAGGACTTCGTTCTAAGGCTGCGAACGCTCTGGGAGTAGAGCTTTGCATTCCAAAGTAGAAGGTTAAAAGGTTAATCGTTTACATTGACCACTGTGGCCAACGTGACTCTAAGAATGCGAACAAAAGGGCAAAAAAGGCATCTGGTTGGCCATGTCAAGTTCATTGATATGATCAAGTTCGTCGTTCTCGACAGCCGCGTGAAAGGAGGCATAGCTATCGTGTTTTGTTACAAGCTTGGTGCACGCCACTGACTTGCCTATCAAAACACTTGCCAGGGATTCCGTAATGTCAGCTTCCGCTGTTTGTAGATCTAGCCGGGAGACGAAGTACCCTCGGCGCCTGGGTTGCCGTGGCACAGAGCACAGCTTGCTCCCGGCGTTCTTTCCATTGAAAAGCCTGCGTCCTTCTTCCCTGTGACAGTCTTGAATCCATCAGCGTCCACGGCGCCCCCATTGCCTAGATATACAGATGATGACGATGGTTAGGTATGTAGAAATCCTGCTTATTAATTAAGGTGTTTTTGTTAGAAAATTTATCTTTTCAGAGTTACGTCGGCATTTTTTTTTAGCTTTGTATGTTGTTGTCGGCGTTTTGGAGGGAGCATTTGGGGGGGCATCGCGGTTCGAGGTGGGAGAGCTTCCCCCGCGGTCGTTAAGAAACGTCTCGGGTTTCGGGAGGTGGTACGGGGAGAACCCGCGCTTGGAGCTGTTTGTGGCTTTTAACCGTGCGTGCCTGTGTATAAAGGGTTTCGCCGCTTAGTATCAAATTTTCGCTTTTTTACCCGGTGTGATAATTTAGCTGTTGGCGCCAGGCAGACTGGGAAAAATGCAGGGAATGACTACAGAAGGAATTTGGTTTCGGCGGTCGGAGCGCCAGGCTGACAGCTCACCGACCATTGGGTAACAGTGTACAACGTGGGAGCGGCTGAATTTGGAGGGATTGGTCGGTCCCTGAGGGGAAAGAAGGCCCCTACGAGTCTACAAAAGAACTGCCGAGAGGATTCTCGGGGATTGGCTTCAATTCGATTTTGAGGAGACTGGGGACAAAAGTATGGGGTTTAGTTTTGGGATTTTAACACAATGTTGAGTTCGTGTTGTTTTATTTTATAATAAACGCGGCCACACTGGCCACTGTAAAGCCAACCAACGTCACAACGTGCTTAGCAAAATCGAGCAACTTTTTTTTTAATTAGCTTCCCGGGGTCTGTCATCCGGCGAACACCATCTACGGGTGAGCACCATCCGGACCAGGACGTGCACCCCGATACCTTCGAGGTCGAAGGAAGTTGACTACGATATTCCACGAGCCGTGGTATTTACGGGCACAGCACGACGTTGTCGTTGAGTCGGAGACTTGTGTCGGGCACCCAGAGCAACAGAAATATAGGACGGCGCCGTTGACTCCAAAGCGCCGGATGAGGAGTTTTTGGGAGCCCCCGCCATGGTCTTGTTCACAACTGCTTGGCTAAGTTGGGAAACTTCCATTCGTAGTGCACTGTTGTCTGCACGTAGCACTTCAGCCTCAGCCGTGAAAAATTCAAGCCAAGACGAAAAAAACGAGCAGACGAAGGATTTCAGAAGAAATCCCTGCATGTGTCGATTCACCGTTCTCGGGTCCGCCGATGTTAAATTCCGCGTTCCTTGTTGTGGGAGTAGCCCCGCCATCAGTTTCGGTGCTGCCCGCATGCGTTTCGCGGTAAAGATTGCGGTTGCATAAGCTGCCGCGGCAACGCAGCGTACGAAGTCCGTCATGAAAGTGAACATTCGAGAGAACTCTCTCTGGTTGGGGAGCAACAATAATAATAAATATAATATGCACCAACCAAATCCTCGTTTAAAGGCGGAACCCTACGTTTCGAGACCTGCTCGGTCTCTTCTTTAGAGGTTGACTGCCGCTATGGCCGTTGAGGAGCAGTATTCTGTTTTCTTCTAAGGTAGTGTATATTGTTTTGCATCAGTGAGGTGGCGAAGTCCGTTCACGTAGGCGGTCGGCAGAGTGCTGAAGGATCTATTTATGTTTTCTGGCTTCGTTTGTATGTGCCAGGATTCAATAAAAGGTCTATGTCTGGGATTGGTCTCAACGGCCAGGATGCTGCTGTTGGCAAAGTCAATTCTGTGGTCCTTGACGTCGCGGTGCTCAGCTACAGCGCTTCGTTCATGGTCGAACTTTCGAACGTCATTCGTATGCTGGCGGATTCTCTCCTGGAAGTTATTTGTTTCCCCAATGTATACGACCGGGCAGTCCGCTCAGGGAATATCATAAATAACGCCTTGTGCTTTTTCCTTAGGTTGGTGATCCTTTGGAAGGGGCATGAGTCTTCCGAGCGTAGACATCGGCTTGTGGGCCACCTTGATCCCTTCTTTGGCCAGTACACGTGCCGGCGCCTCGCTTGTACCTTTTATGTAGGGAACGCTGATGCGTGAGGTAGGACGGGTCTGTGTACCTGCTGGGGGTTGCAGGTGTCGGCGATCTCGGGCTCGATGAGGAGCAATGCGGTGGATGAAGCTGCTTCTGTAACCATTATGTTGTAGGTCGGCGAAAATGGTGTGTTCCTCTTTTTTACGGTCAGCTTCGGATGAGCAGATATATTTTGACCTGGATAAGAGTGTTCTGACCACTGATGCAGTGTGACAGGCTGGGTTATTGGAATGGAAATGGAGATAACGTCCAGTATGTGTCGGGTTTCTGTAGACAGAAAACTGGAGCTCTTCATTTTGTTTTCTGACGAGCACATCGAGGAAAGGTAAGGTATTGTCCTCTTCATGCTCCACGGTGAATTGTATACACGTTTCAATGGAGTTGAGGTGGGTAAGGAACGTGTCCACTTCCGACGTTTTTAGGATGCAAAAGCAATCGTCTACATACCTCAAGAATACTTCGGGGCCGTGTGAAATGACTGTAGCGCCTTTTCCTCAATGGCTTCCATACATAGGTTCGCAGTTGTGACGGAAATGGAGGCATCCATTGCGGTTCTATTGGACTGTTTGAAGAATTCTCCCTTGAAACTAAAGTAGGTGCTGCTTAGGCAGAACTCAAGGTGGCGGCAGAATTCCTCCACGCTAACCGCTCATTCACACTGGAAGCGGATCCGCGTTCGCAAAGCGGTTGCGAACGCTGTTGTATAAAAATCCAGTACAATTGCACGCGCACTCGATGACATCAAGTGCGCGTGCAATTGTACTGGATCTTTACACAACCGCGTTCACAACCGCTTTGCGAACGCGGATCCGCTTCCAGTGTGAATGAGCGGGAAGTTTTATCCTTTCGCTCAGGGATTGGTCTTTCTCGACGGCGCTCTTGGCCGTGGCGACAGCCAGGGGAACCGGACGAAGAGACCGAGCAGGTCTTGAAACGCAGGGTTCCGCCTTTAAACGAGGATTTGGTTGGTGTATATTTTATTTATTATTATTAAAGTCCTTCCTATATAAAAACAGTTACAGTGCATTTACTTGGTAAATCGTTGCAGGTGATACCACAGCTTCGCTGACCTATCACCTTCACAGCATGAAGGTGGATGGTCTTTTTTTTTTTTTAGTTTTCTGTTCCAATTTTTAACCTATATTTTTATATCAATGATTACTTCCAATATTTCTACTTTCAGTCACACTTCTAATCCTTTTGTTCGTTTTCTATATTTTTGAGGACGGTATGACATTCAACAGATGTTTTTGTTGTTGTGGTATTCGTCTAAATTTTGATTGACTGGAAAAGGTATTGTTAAGATGTCCACGTCACTTCTATACATTCTAAAGGACAGCACCGTGTGTTCACATCACGAACCCAGAAGGTTTAAGACATTTTGAAGAGTTTCGATCATCATGCAGCCCGGTGCTCTGTTTTTTCTTGTGGTTGCAGCGTTTGGTGAGTAAGCTGAATGATATTTGCGAAGTATAATGAAAAACCTCAGGAAAATAGGATATCTTAAAACTTTCCTTGCGACGTTGTTACAAGTCGTTTCCGGACTTGCCCTTCAAAGTGATATGTTTGCCGGAAATGTCTTTAGCCATACCCTCGGTATCTGCTGCAGCGCTCCCAAAATTTACGTCGTTATTTGAAAAAAAGAAAAAAAAAATTATACGTTTTCGTTTTTTCGCGTTTTTTACCATACTGCTCTTCGATTCCAAAGTGCTGCTTTTCAATGTGACAGCGTTTCGACCATTTGTTACTGTTTGCAACAAGATGGTTGCTACGGTAAACGTGGTCCGTGTCATGCATCATTGTGGAACGCAAGGAGTTGTAACGCAGTCGGTTTAGGGCACGGTGATCTAGGGTGCTTTTATTTACGCTTTGCTTAGGATGAACACATGTAATCATTTTGCTCCAAACCCGTATCTTTTTTTGTTCCGGAGTACGTGAAAGAGCGCCTCCCAGCGTGCGCTTCTGGCATTCACTGTGCTACGGTGGCAGGCACGTAGCCAGGATTTTTTTTCGGGGGGGGGGGGGAGGGGGGAGGGAGCCTGCCCATGACAAAATGATGCATGAGGGGAAGGGGAGAGAGAAGGTCCCAGCAAAATGGAAGATTTCGGGGGGGGGGGGGGGCGGGGGGGCGGGCCCCATGGGCCTCCCCCGGTCTACGTGCTTGTACGGTGGCATTTTGTTTACGGCGATTTCTTTGTATGTTCCCTGTGTGCGCGTGCTGTCGGCATAGAATACTACAGAAATTTCATCAGCTTAAACAGGATGACATGGACGCACCCTAAGCCTGTTGCATGGGAACGAAAATTCCTGGATCAGCTTTTAACCTCTTCAGCGGCGCCCAATGTTCAGCCTTTGATATTTGCTTTTAGTATTCAGAAAACGAATAAAAAGGGCTCATATGACGATATCTGGAGCATAGAAAGGGTGAGGAAAGGTAAATGTAAACATGTTTTGGGCCGACAACGAAGGCGCTTCACTAGAGGTGCGATTCTGTCTCTTTGGTGTCTTCAAGCAGCTCTTGTCCGCGTCTGAAAACAGGTGCAACATACTGAATTATATTTTGCTCATAATGCGGTACCAAGTTTGTACGGAAGCAATTTTTCGCTTGTTTCTGTCGTATTGTTGTAATTTCTGACATTGAATGTGAAGCGCGCAGGTTGCTTAAGCTTCTGGATACTTTTCGGTTACCATACAATTGTGACAGTTGCTTCAGAGAGAAGCAGAACACATAATTAAGATCACTCGGCACAGTGACTGAAAGGCACGTAATGTGCTCTCATTTATTTATATGTCTGCACTTCCAGCACTTTGTGTAGACGCCGAGGCAGGAATTCTCTACTGAGAGCATTTCTTTTGAGTAGTTTTTAATATAGCCAATATATTGACTAGATCGAAACGGGCAGAGGTGGGGATTGAGCCCAGGATCCCTGGGTTCCGCAGCGCGATCTTTCGCTCCAAGTGCTCCGGGCAGGTGTGCGCTAAGCCCACTTAACCACCGATCCCCCTACTGCCGCGGGGTGTGCCCCGCCTTTCCTGAGAGGAAACATCCGTTAAGAAAGGGGTGTGGCCCCACCTTTCATGACGTCTTTCATAAAAAGAAAAAAATCGGCGTCCCATGATTAATTTTTAGGTTTGTTAGTGCCCGTACAATCATTTATGACCAAGAACAGACGATCGCGAAATCCTCTTTAGTGTCCTTTAAGGAATGTGATTAAAAACAAGCAAATTATGTGCACGATGTAGTTTAGCAAAAATAGTGATTTTTTTTTTCCAGAGTGATCCTTCTATACTTCGTTTCACACCAAAAGAAAAACAAGCGCAGGAACACGACACCCCCAAGCTGCGTGATTGGTTAGCCGGTGATGGCCAATGAACAAAAACGACAAGTACCGGTGACGATACACTTTTGGTGTTGTTAGATCGGCTGCTTTGAATTGTAGCGTCGGCGGCGCTAGGACTTGGTGTAAAACGGAGTATAGAACAACACGCTGCTCTGCTTGCTATACAATTGCTCGTGCATTCGCCGAAGTTGTAGATATCATAATTGTTGAATGAACACTAAATTGATTTGATAAGATTCATTGATGGAAAGTAATCTTCCCCACAGCGTGATCCAAGACCTTTTTTTTTCTTGTTTCTAGGGTTTCGGTGCTGTGAGCCGGCTGGCGTGGCTGACATCACCTACGATGAGTACAGCGAGGAAGACGACAACCAAAGTGTCTGTTCTAGCGAGCCAGAAAGTGGGCGAGGTAGGGCCTACGTAAAAGGATGGGCATACTATAAGAAACTGGACAAGTGTTACGTGTTCTATTTCGGGGATAACATATTTAGTGGAAACGAGAACAAATTTATGTCCGAAGCTGAGTGCAACGCAGCGTGCAGAGGTAAGCAAAATAACGAGTGTCTCGCATTTCGGGTTTGCCTTTTTGGTTCGTAACGTGGTGGTATGTATCTTTTTTCCACTTGATGTGCTTAAGATAATGCATGCGGATCTCGTAAAGATGAGGCTATTGATATGATTTGCGTAAGGGTGCACCATTGTAGGTTTTATTAGTTAAATTGTACGCAAAGGTAATGTGTATATGCCCTTAAAATTTGTTATATATATTGGAATTGCAACGTCTCGGGAGAAAAATTTATAATAGAATGAGCATCAAAGTCAAAATTATTTTTAGTTTCACTCACGTATTAATGTACAGAAAGGTGCTTTGTGTTGCACTTTGATTTTAAAAATCTAATTTCTCTCGCCGCCGAAGCTAATGTTCCAAGAAAATGCTACAAGAGCTCACCGACGAGCACCGGCAATGGAAATTGTTCAACGACGACTTATAATCCAATGTTTGGAAGTTGTAAAATGACGTGTGCGGACATTCAAAAAGATAAAGATGAAAATGTATTCAACAACTTTGAGCGTTGCGAGTCAGAATGTCTAGGTAAGTACTTTTTGCAATGTAAAACTGAAAAATAGGCTTAAGTATATTTATATATATTTGATTTAATTAACATCATTGTTGTGCGACCAGTGATGTTATGATATGTAGAGGAGGAAGATGCGAGTTTTCCCGGAACCGCTAACTTTTTCCCAACTCTGAGCCCGTTAAATCGACTCGTCTCAAGTCTCACACCATAAAGTTCCTTTGCTAAAACCATAGCTCATATTATGGTCTTTTGCTGGTGCTTTTCGTGATACTATAGTAAAGCGTTATGGCCAAGACAAGTTCTAGCAACGCCTTTCGTCGACGGTCGGTAGGAGTTTGCCTTGCGGCTGCCACAGGATAGGTTAGTACGCGCACCTTCATTCATTCATTCATTCATTTATTGATACTGTCAGCCCTTGCACAGGGCTATTACAGGGGTGGAGAAAAAAAAAGGACAATAACAAACAAACATGTACGCTTACACGCAAGCATACACAAAGGTTATAGACATATTGAGAGGCTTCGTCATTTCGGCAGTTTACGAAACGAATATCACTTCGTAGTTGTGAAACATTTCTTTACACAAGCTGTAGTGGTTTTAGTTTGTAGCACATACAATAATATCACTGACACGGTCCAGAAATTCATTTAGCGACATAGATGACACAGCAGAATCAGGTAATATATTCCAATCTTTAATAGCCCTCGGAAAAAAACTGTACTTAAAGCAATCGTTTTTAACAGATGGATTAGGAATGTACATGCTATGACGATGTCTTGAGGATTCGGTGGAGGAAATTTCAAAGTACTCGGATTTCCTTATTTTTACGCAATTATGAATAATCTGAAAAAGAAACTTTAACCTTTCATACTTCGTTCTTGATTCAAATGTAGGAAGATTGGCAAGTTCACATAGTTTTGTGGGGGAATGAACGTGGCTGTATTTATTAAAAATAAACCTGGATGCGAGTCGCTGGATTTTCTCCAGCTTATTGCAATTTGTGACGGTATATGGGTCCCATACAATTTTAGAATACTCGATGACGGGTCTTACCAATGTCTTATAAGCTAGACTTTTTATTTCAGGAGTTGCAATAGCGAGGTTTCGTCGAAGGCACCACAGTGCTTTATTAGCTTTGATGCATACGTTATCAATGTGAGTGTTCCATTTTAGATCAGGAGTAAATATTAAGCCTAAGTATTTATGTTCTTTAACTCTCTCCAACTCAGCACCCGCAATGCAATAATTATAAGCCAAAACATTTATTTTTCTCGTAATAGACATGAAGACAGATTTTTCAGGATTTAGCACCATTTGCCAATTTTGACACCACTTTTTAATTTTTTCTAAGTTACAGTTTAATTCGACTTGATCAGCCGATGTTTCAATTTTATTGTAAATCACACAGTCGTCGGCGAATAGTCTGATTGGAACCGAGATGTCATTGCGCAGATCGTTAATGTAAATCAAAAATAAAAGAGGACCCAAGACACTGCCCTGGGGTACGCCTGAAACAACTGGGGACATAGTGGATTTGCTACCCCCAACTTTAACGTACTGTTTCCGTGATGAAAGATAAGAGGAAAACCACTTCGTGATGGCTGGATTCTTAAAAACAGCACTGATTTTCAATAGCAATTTGGGGTGAGATACTTTGTCGAACGCCTTTGCGAAATCTAGGAATATTACATCAGTTTGACCACGACAGTTTATCCTTTGAGAGAGATCATGAACAGTTTCTATGAGCTGGGTAGTCGTGGAAAGACCTCTGCGGAAACCATGCTGCGATTTAAATAATATGTCATATTTTTCAAGGTAAGCCAGTAGATGTTTAGATATGATATGTTCAAGGAGCTTTGAGCATGTACTAGTAAGGGAAATGGGGCGAAAGTTACAGACGTCATTAACACTACCGCTCTTGTGGATGGGAATAATTTTTGCTATTTTCCAAGCGCTGGGAAAAGAACCGCTACTCATAGACAATCTAAAGATGATAGTAAGGTATTTAGAAACCCACTCAGCATACCTTTTTAAAAATTCAATCGGAATTTCGTCTGGACCTGGGCTCTTTTTTGAGTCGATGTTAAGTAGAAGGTTAAAAACTCCTTGCTCACTTATATCTAAGTTATTGATGGGAGGATTGTTGGAAGAATCACTAAAGCTTGGCAAATTTCCATCATCGTTGGTGAAAACGGATGAAAAAAAAGTGCTAAAATTTTCAACGCTCTGCTTTTCATTTTTTTGGGTCAGAGGCACGCTGCTGGAACTTAGCCGAAGGGTTGACGTACCGCCAGAACTTCTCAGGTGCCTCGCTAAGGAATTTTTTAAGTGTTATACTATAAAACCTTTCTTTAGACTCTCTAACTAGACGCCTCAGCTCCCGACTCAATCGCTGAATGAAAGTTTTTTTTTCTACACCTGTACCATGTGAACTCGCTCGTCTCCGCTTCAGTTGTCGTTTTGCGTGGATTATTTCCCTTGTAATCCAAGGATTTTTGTTCGCGATTTTTTTAGGGAGCTTTGGTATAAATCGCTCAATACACCGTAACGTCATGCTTGAAAAATAGTCCCATAACGTGTCTGGGCTAGCATCTGATTGGTAAAGAAACATAAAATCATCAAACGATTGTTCAAGGCAATCAAGTACGCTTACATCATAAGCACTTCTAAAATCCAAAAACATCTTTCTTGAATGACTGTGCGATTTTTCTGGGGTAACATTCAATGAGACGAGTACCATCCTATGATCGGATAGGCCTTCTTCGGTTTCACATTTCGAAAAATATGGTTTTAAACTCTCGGAAACAAAAACTAGATCTAAAATTGTTGACGTTGTTGAACATACTCTAGTGTAATCTGTTACCACCTGGGATAAGTTATAGCAAAATACAAGTTCTAATAATTGATCGCAACTAGCTACTTCCGCCGTTCCATGAGAATATGATGACCAGTCAATCCCAGGTAAATTAAGATCTCCCAGTAACAAAATGTTGTCTCCGTAACGTAAATTGGAATCCATGTAGCCCCTTAGTTTTAACAGCATTTCAACTGGCGAATTCGGGGCTCTGTACACGCCACCAATATAAACTGTACGGTTATTCAATTTTGTCTTGATCCATAATGCTTCTACATCCCGTACTTCCTCAAGGACTTCAAATTTGATGTTATTTTTAATCATAATAGCAACTCCGCCTCCCCTTCCCTCTCTATCGTTTCTTATTATTGAATAATTCGGTGGAGTAACTTCGGAGTTTAAGATATTTTCATGAAGCCATGTCTCGGTAATTACGGCCACTTCAGGATCGTGCTCTAGCATTATGCTTTCGAACGCGTCAACCTTGTTTGCAATACTTCTGGCGTTTATGTTTAATATTTTAAAACATGCTGAATCATTTTGTTTTAGTCACTCGTTATTTGCTTCCGGTGGAACGCGACACTTGTATCTCTCATTGCTGACTTCATTCCAGGCGTACAGAACATTGTTAAGCCACAGCTTATCAAAGACTAGATTGACTTTGGCACCGTTTTTCCTCTCCTCTGCGGTTGAATTCCACAGGTTCTTTCGAAGCTCAACAACCCTCTTGGAATAGTCTTCATTGATGCTAATTTGGGTACCTTTAAGTTTGACACAGTTTTTCATGATAGCCATTTTCTCTTTAAAATCCCCAACTGTAAGTATTACAGGGCGATCTCTACCAGTCATCTTTTTTCCAAGTCGATGTATACGTTGGATAGAGTTCAGTTTTTGACCTAGTATAGCGTCAAACACCTCATTGTTGATTTTCCTCATTAGTACATCCTCGTTTTCAGAAGACTCTTCCTTAATTCCCCTTACGATAACGTTATTTCGTCGTGAACGATTTTCTAAGTCATCAATTTGTTTTACAAGAGTATTTATTTCGACATCGTAGCCACTAACAGAGTTTTCAAGTTTAGCAAGCCTGTTCTCAGTTTCACCTACGCTCTCAAGTTTTTTTTCTATCGCAAGTAGCCTGTTTTGCATTTGTAGCATACTTTCTTCCGAAGAAGTCTGTTTTACTTGTACCTCAGTAATTTTAGCAAGGATCTCCTTTTGTGTCCGAATCATATCATTAAACATTTCTTGCGTAATAGGCCCAGGGTTTTCCTCCACATCTCCAGCTAGTATGAGCAACAGGCCTGCTACAGAGAAACAATCGCGTACACAAGCTGCAATTGTGTGTGGACACGGCAACACAATCAAACAGAGGTAATCGCTGTGAAAAACATGTTTTCTATCACCAACCTGCATGAGTAGTGGTACATTAGGCGACATCATCACGGCTGGGTTGCCGTGTCCACTGACGCCCGCAGCCGCTTGCGTTTCCTTTATAGGCAGTGGTGGCGCTGCTTCTTGAAGTTCTTCTGACGTCATCGTGCCCGTGAAGGGTGCGCTGTAGATGTTGGCCACGTGTAGCAACTGCAGATGAGCGATGTCAGCGCGATATCCGATAGGCGATGAAGACGACGTTTGGCCCGAAGCGATGAGTAGGCACCAAGTGCAAACCTGCATGAGTAGTGGTACATTAGGCGACATCATCACGGCTGGGTTGCCGTGTCTATGATTACGAGAATGTTTTCCAACGCTTGTCATCGGCGATGAGGAATTGTGTGACTTGCTGCTCTCAGTACCTGTTAGCGGGATCACTTAATCGACATCGGTGGTCGCCAGCGGGCCGTCTTTTACACCTGGATTGGGGGCAGCATTCTGGAGGCCAGAAAGCACGACTCTCATAATACCTTATAATTAGGGTTCTGCGTTTTCGCAGTTTAATTTTTAGCAAAACTGGAGGGCGTTTTTCCGAGTTTATTTTTACTGAAAATTCGGTGTTTTTCGGAGCTTTCGCGTTATGACACTAAAGATGTTGAGTTTTTTTTTTTTTTTCGGATGTTTTCTGTCATGGTATAGGCACAGAAATGCAGTTCTCGAGCTTAATAATGGCCCTTTTTTATTGGCAATGACGAGAAATATGCCTTTTGAGTGATAAATTAATTT